CAAAAAAAATGGCTTTTTAATGGAAGTTTTTGAAAACAAGCTCCATATGAACTCGATGGCAAGAAACTGCAAGGTAACTGATCAAAAACACATTAATTTCCACACTAAAAACTTTAAGGGGAAGTTAAGGTAGCACTAACCAAACAGCTAGAAGGTGGAGGGGACACATTAACATGTCTTACAGCGGTGTGCTGATTGCAGATTATCATTAAGAATGCTAGAGATGAAGTGCTGGATACCCAGGAAATTCAATTAGTTCAACTGTCAAAAAAGTTTCGGTTCCTTGTAAATCTAGAAGCTCAAAGAGACGGTAACCTGAAACTACAACTTCACCACAAAGTAGTACATGTTTGGGATTTTCCTTAGGTTTCTTAAATAGTCCCATGGGACAGGCAAACAAAGGAGGTTTGTTGGGTGGGGGCATTTCCCGTTTTCTGACTTGTTTTTCTGAGATCTGCAGGATGGGAGTTGCCCTAAAGTATGCTTCCTAATATCTTGGAGGGCAGCTTATCTCCTGCAGAGGTTGGAAGATACACAGGGGTAGGGTTGTGGGAGGGTAACTCTGCATCAACCCAGGGTAAGGTGAGTTAGGCTCATCAGGATAGCACAGCTTGCCCGAATAGTAACATGTATCCATGTTTACCTGCAGGTGTTCTTTCATCAAGTAATAAAGTCCATAGATCCATTATGACAGGTCTCCAGCTAGCTTGCAGCTTAGGGACCGAACCAGGCCTGTATCACTGACAGGAGGGGATTGCCCAACCTTTGATGAGCTCATCAGTAAGACAACTACCATACCCAGGATCATTGAACCTAATTTCCCCAAAATAAATCTAAAATATACCTCAAACAATAGCTTATCTTACTGCAGAACATCCTTACCCCACTCCTCTACAATGGGTAAAAGGACTGGAATGGCATAAAGGGGGATGAAAACCTCAGACCTGGCAGGAGGTGGGGGGTAGTGTTCACCCAGTGCAGGAACTGAGGAAGACAGTCACAGGCGGCTTTCCAAAGGCTGCCTCACAAACTCCGACATACGGGGGCAGAGCCATAGCATGTAGCACGTTGGAGTGCCAGCATAGCCTGCCAGGCTGTAACTTAGAAATCTTCCCAAGGCTGCCTAAATTACCCCAGGCGATGCTCTGGTTTCTAGAGCAGTCCAGAATTGGGAGAGTCCAAAGGAGGTTTAGAGCCCATAGGGCCACCCTCCCCTGGCTTGCCACTTCTGTGCTGCTCCTCTCAGAGGTGTAGCAAAGACTCTCATGAATACAAGAACTTTCTGGATGCCTGTTTTCCATTCTTATCTGACTCCAGATGAGCCCTTTTCATACAAAGTCACCTAAATCAGTGGACCTGAAAGGGAATTTTCAGGAAAAAGCAGATAAATTCCCTTATACATCATCACCTCAAAGTCCACAACTGTGTGTCAGAGGAAATCCAGGGAGAAACAGACCCCAATCTACCCAGAAAGATCTTCAGATGGATCCATAAACCTCATCTTTCCCATTATCTTCATTTTTCTGCTCTCAAGCCAGGATCTGGCAAAGCCAGATTTAAAAATAAACTTAACTGGCAACCCACAAGTGACTTCAAAGTCGTTCTTTATGGACAGTTTTTGGTAGGAAAAAAATAATAATCTCCAAGCTGCCTGCATTATGGACTAATATAATCTACGGGCATCCCAGTACCTTCGCTGACAGTCAGAGTGCTGTTGCATGGACTGGCCAGTGTGGATCCCAACTACTACTACAGAATCTGAGGAATGTTAGTTATTCTTTCTAGAATGGTACTGGCTCATTGGAAATACTCTCTTTGGTCTTCTATTAATCATGCCTCTGGTTTCCACAGGTGGCATCTATGTGGACTCCTCATTCTACAGATCGGAGAGACCATTACAGTAGGAATTTACAACTCACTGTCATTTCTAAATAGCTGGAAGATTAAAAAGT